TGCATTACTTGCTCTATTGAAAATGCACATATCTGAGAGTTTTGTAACAGTGAACTAGGTCATCCATGGGTGTGTAATAGGCTACAGACAAAGATCAGTATCAAAGAGGAGCAGGGGTCTCCAACAGGAAAGTTTCTGCTCGTCTAGGTAAGACCCTGTATTTGGCATACAAATCATGAGAGAAGGCAAAACCAGCCAGAAAATAGAGAAACCTCAGGAATTCCAAGCCATTAAGAGGAAACAATCCTTAAATGTTTGTCTATCACTTGATAGTTGCTTTCCATAACTTTGTTTTAAGTATGTTGCCTTTCTTTTTTTATTATTATTTTTCTTTTTTTAAATTTCTTTTATTTGTTTAAAGATTTATTTTTATGAAAGAACTATTTTATTTTTATATAGGCCAGAGGCACAGGGAGGGTAAGAGAACTCACCAGAGACAGAACAGGAAGCAGAACAGGCAGATGGACTGAAATACACTGCTGAGGGGAGCAGTGGGCGAGATAGGAGAGGTTTGCCGTGCCATGTGGGTAGCTCCTGGTGGGCCAGCAATCGAACCCACACTGCAGCGGCTGCGGACAGCCTCACAGCACTGTGCTCAACTTGCTGCGCCCCAGGGAGGGCCTGCTTTCCATAATTTATATTAGTACACCACCAAATCATTTCAGAGCTCAGTTAGTATTGTTGGGCTCATTCTCACATAGCCATCAACGGAAACCCTGAGATTAAGTCCTCTACACAAAGGAAGTTACCTTCAGCCATGGAACAAGAGCTCACAATCATGCTGTGCTTTTCTTAGCCCACCTAAGTCTGCAATGCCTCTAAGAGTCACAGAGTGAGAGTCAATGGTTGGATGATACTAGCAGTAATAGCTGACATATATATATATATATATGTCAGTAACACCAGCGCTAGAAATATACACACACACACACACACACACACACACACACACACACACACACCTCTGTTTTACTTCTGTGGGTTGACTTGCATTGACCTGAATCAAGAATATTTATGAAGAAGAAATAGTGCATCTATGAATACCAACTCCAAATTCTGCTAGAAGTGTTTATGCCTGCTTGAGCTATGCCAAAAAGCAATTAACGTTACCCAGTGGCCCTGGGTTTAACCTGTTATTTATACCAGTTCGGCAGAGGGGATCCATGAAATTATCTATGGCTAGTCAGCTTGGAAATTTTCCCAGACTATTTTTTAAAGGTTAACTGGTATTGCTGGTCACCCTTGCCAAATAGAAATAAAGAAGAAACTCAGAAATAGGAACTGGATATCCTGTAAAGAAAAGAAAGTTTAGTAGAACACAAGGGAGTTTTGATTAAAAAAAGAAAAATACAAGATGAAATCTAAGAGTTTGCCCTTTTCCTTTAGATTTTTAATTTTTAGCAGTAGAAGAGGATTTGTTTTGAAAGGTTGATCATTCTTCTTCCAAATTGTGTTTCCAGATGAGAAATAACATTCCATTCTCCTCTAACTCTCCAATGAAGGAGAATTTCACACCCCCTGTTCCAAACCACATATTAGAATAATAATATTCTGCCCAGGGTGTAGAATGACTTCTATAATCTGCCTCCTTGTTCACCACACAAAGACTTGTGCAAAAATGGAGTACAAAGGATATTGTTTGATTATGTCTCCCCAATGAGGTAAGTGCCTTTTAGTTAAGGGGGAAATAGAAGATCAATTTACAGAACCCACAAATGTGTTAGAACAATTCATATTTGTTCTTTATACTTCCTTCCTACCATCTTCCCTCTTCCTGTCCATTAATTTTTCATGGCATTTACTGCCAATCTTGGGCCTTCTAAAGCAATGCAGTGTGATCTGGCCATTAATAAATGTAATCATCAAACTGAGGTAGAGAATATAGCAGTACTGTTGATAAAACTATCTTCCCAGCTTTGGCCTCTTCTGTTGCTCTGCTCACCTTAATTGCTTTTCCTTGACCTTGAAACTTGCTTCATTTCTATCCTAACACTTAATTCAAATTTTAGAGAAAAGTTATGAAAAAGCTGTATCCATTAGCAAAAAATTTAAATAAGAAAAATCTCCCAATAGAAGCATTAAGTAAATTCTAATTTATTTTGTTTGAAATAATATAAAGATATTTAAATTCAATTACAATGAACATTCAATACATGTGGGAATGCTTTGGATATGCATTGTTAAAGAAAAAGGATACAAAATTGCATAATTATAGGATTATAATTATATAGAACGTAGAAAGTGGAAATACAATTAAATGTTAACAAATTAAGATTACTGTGAAAATTTCTTTTGTTTCCTCTGTATTACAATTGTTCTATGAAGTTAAAATAAATTTTAACTTAATTTTTGAGCTTAAAATTTTTTAGCTTAGATTTATGGCCTAAATGAACCCGTATGTCTTCCAATTGCTCCTTTTTCTTTTTAGGTATTTCTTGATTCTTGGAGTAGATGTTCATGGGCAAAAAATCATGTTTGGGTTAGGCCAAATTTCTGTTCTCTGTGCCAGTTGATAAGGACAGGGATTTAGAAGGAGAAAGTTACATAATCAGAATTTTATTAAAACTGTCTGGGATTTTATAGATCATCAGTTTGAAACCCTGCATTTCATAATGTAGAAACTAAAGAAGAAAAAGCTAGAAAAATAAAAAGAGCAGATATGTGGGTTGATCCAATAGACACTTGTGAAATTTTTGTAGTTGTAATTATTTCAAAGGGTTCTGAATATGGTTAACAGTAGATCTAGGTAGTACAAAACTGCTTTCTGTCTAGTTCATTCTCCCCTACCCAGCTCTTTTCTAGTGACTTCCAGTTTTTTGTTTCAAAAAAATCCTGTTTCTCTAGAGTCTGCAGAGCGATTTTTTACAACACTCAGAGAGAGTGCTGGTGAAGACATTAAAAAAGATGTTTTTTAGAAATGTCTTAGTTCAAGGAGCAATGTGAGTAATCAATGTCATAGAAACCTGCTTTGTGCAGAAGTTCCCATTCACTAATTTCTTTGCCTGAGAGTGGCTGACTACCTACCCTGAGTCCCTCTCTCTAAATAGCTCTTGGTCAAAACCACCCCATTCAAGTTATACTGTCCCAGAGCAATTCCCTAACTCCCAGGTAAACCCAAGAACAAATCTGTCTTATCCTAAGACAATGCAACGATACCATCACATTCGAAGCCCATTTTTAAAACCTATAGTTCATTTCGATTGAAATTGTTTTGTTTTCAATTTCTTTAAATGATAAACCAAAAAATAAAGACCCGTTTGAGAGTTATAGACCTTCTCTTCACAGTAATCAAGGAGAGTTGAGCAATTGTGTAATGAATATAATCAATTTAAACAATCTAGTTTGAATACTCTTTCCCTTAATAACAAGAAAACTTTATATTTTAATTTTTCTTCAGTTTTACTTAATTTCTCTGTTAGTTATAAACTTAAATGACAAGAAAATTAATCTGTGGACCCCCTTTAATTTGTTTTTCAAAATGTAGTTACTGTACCAGTAATTTGGGCATCATCTGAGAGCTCATTAAAAACACAGAATCTCAGGTGCCACCCCAGATCTACTGACTCAAAATGTGCATTTGGTCAGGATTCATAGACAACTGTGTTATATTAAAGCTTGCTAAGAACTGTACCACTGTTGTGGTACAGGGTACCAACTGTACCCTGGACATTGTCACAGGGAGAAAGAAGTCAGAATTCAGTATGAGTCCCAGCTCTGTTACTTACTTACTGGGGCAAGTAAGTCCTCATTTCCTCGATGCCCATTTGCTTATACTTAAAAGTCCTTACAGCAATGTTTACCTTTGAGGATTTTTATGAAGATTTATGATTGCTCTTATTCAAATAAGCAACTGTAGTGGACCAGTTACTGTTTTAAAGACTAGAGCATTATGAGGAACAAGATAGACACAAGTCCTGCCCAACAGATAGTCCACAAACATGCCTTGAGCATGGACCATGTACTGCAGTCCAGGAGTTCCAGCAATAAAATAGACCCTTTTGGAGCTACCATTTGAAAACAAGACACAGTTACAATTAAAAAAAAAAAAAAAAACCTGCTAGTGTTACAAAGGACCAAGTACAAGTGCAAAGAGAACTTATATTAAGGGAATTAATCTAAGTTAGAGGAGGGAGTTCTCAAAATCTCTCCACCTTCATGTAACATCCTTGCTAAAGAAGACAAACAGAAGATTTCCAACACCATTGCATGAATGATGCCATCAGTGATGTGTCAGTGCAATAGGAGACCATTAACACAGACCTGAAGGGAAAGGGACACAGATTGGGGGATGTAGTTGGGGGAGCGCGGAAGGGTTACTGAAGGGAGGTCAAGGTGTCCCAGAAGAAATGTCATTCACTGAGAGAAAATGAAGAGGATTAATTCTCATAAATGTGGGATTAGAGGGACACAAATGTAGAAAATAATATAAACTAATTCAGGGTTTCAAAAAAGACAAGTGACATAATCCACAAAACATTTTGCAAGAATCCCTTTGCATTTCTGAGAATAAACTAGATTGATAGTGTACCCTGAAACTGCCTCCTCCCTGGACCCCTAGATTTCTGACTTGCTCCCCTGTAAACCTGCTTCTGAATTTGTCTCAGACATACTCTAGGCCAGAATTTTACTTTGGTACTTTCTCACATGCTATTGTATCAAGCATGTTTTATTTTGTTTTTTTATTCTGATGCTTTGACATCTGGGACCTTGCTGACCCTGAAGAGCCTGACCCTCCCAAAACTAGTCAATTCCTAGAGATCTTAAGCAATTCTCTTTTCTTGTGTAAATCAAACAATCCAGAATCCCTGCCCCGCCTCCTCTTTTATCAGTCTCTCTCCACACCAGACTACTCTTCAGCTGCTTTTAATCGCCCCAGGTCTAGTTTAACTAAAGACAATTCCTAATCCCAAGCCCACTGAAATTATTCAAACCAGCCAAACCCAAATCTGCTTACCCTTCCTTTCCATTCATTCCAATTAAATTAACAATAAAGCACTTACCTGTATTTCCTCCTCATTCCTTCTGCTGCCTGACCAACTCTGGTACCTTCCTTTGTGACCTTGTATGGTGAGGTCCAGCTAGTACTGTTGGGAACCATGAGAACCTCTTTTCCATGGCAGTTGAAAATGGAGCCACTGGTCCCACTGTACATAAATTTAAAAAAAAAAAAAAAGTAACATTTTTAAAGCAGTGTTGTACAACCATCCCAGGCTGGGTAGGTTCACTGTTGGTTCTAGCGATTTGAAGGAGAATTTTGCAGACCTTGGCATCATTTTCACAGCTTTTAATGGTAAGCAGGAGAAACAAGCCAGCAGGGAGGCAGCAACTTGAGCCTCTTGCAAATCTCTTTATGCTCTTTTCTCTGGGCTTTCTCTGGCTTTCTCGCGTGGTCTCCTCCTCTAGTGGCCAATCTCCCATCTCTGAGTAACTGCGCCCTTATATCCCTGACCTGTAGGGTCAGGTGTGCACAATTGCACATGCACACACACCTTTGCTCAGGTGTCCATAGTCAGGCACTCATGCCCCCCACACACTGATCCTCCACGTTAACAAGATTGAGGCCACAGGTGATAGCCACAGAGGCCAATGGCATAAAAGCCTAATGGACTTCATTTACTCTACAAAAGTTACATCATTTAACTTTTGTACCACTCCTATGGGAGTTTTATCCCCATTTTTTTGAGATGACAGAATTGAGTTGCATTTATCTTAGATTTCTGACTTTATTGAAGTGAATATAATATGGTGGGAGCAATGTAATCTTTCTAGTGAAATAGATTGGCCAGGATTCAAATTCTACCAGTTATGAATCTGACAGTAATAAGCAACCTTAAGAATTTTAGTCTCTCTCTATATAAAAGTGTATTATCTACTCTCACAAACCCTCCGCAAGTTTATACTATGCAAGGCAGGCACTTTCCAGCAGTAAATCATGGATCCTTGCAGCTTCTAGATTATGGCTTCTCTGGCTTCTCCATCTTAACACATGACTCCCAGTGTCTTCAAGATAAGCAAAGAGAGAACACAAAGAGCTCACAACTGATCATGATTATCATAGTCACTTCCATGGACATAGTCATAGCTGCCTATAGCCCACTAGCCAGAACACTTCAGGTTGCCTAACTATAAGTTTGTAAAATGCACTGGAGTACCTGGATATTTTCTGTACCTGCCCCCACACCCCCGCCATGGATCCATGGTGAGTACATGGATATTTTGGGACAGGATAATCCCTGTCACACTGCCTGTGATAGGTGCTTCATGTGCTTAGGTTTTTGTTTTTTTTTTCTCACCTTGAACAATATCCTTACCTTCCATTGACATAGTGTCCCAAGTGCAGAGGTCAATAGTTATTGTATTGGAAAAATCAGCTGTGCTCCTTCCTTTCATTTTTAACACATAGTCATGATCAGAGTTTAATATGTCAGCCCCTTTATAGACACTCAGAGGTCCAATATATTTTATTGATTCAGTAACCTCTTTATTTAATGTATACTTTAATATAAGCTGCTAAAAGCAGAACCTCTTTCATTCTCATTACCACTTTCAACATTGGTTTTTGGCTTCTAAATGCTTTTATTTGAGATTGTTTTGGTTTTTTTAAAATATATATTCTAGGAACAGAATCTGTTGCACAGAAAACTGTGTCAGAATTCAAGCAGAAAAGAAAAATGGAATCTTTTGGTGGCTACCACAGAAATTAAATCCATCTATTAGTCCCTTTTTTCACTGCTTTATTTCTTTTTATTAGCTGCTTCTTTCTATGTTGTTTGTTTCAAGAACCCCCCAAAATACTATTACAGTATAATCTTCATATAAAGGAAAGATTCCATATTCCATATTCCCTGCCCCATCTAATGGAGGCTGGTGTTGAGTAGGGAGGAAACTAGAGGAAGACCAGACACATGGGGAGACGTGTAAAGAACAATGTCCGCTTGCTTCTCGGCCCATGAAGAAACTGACAGTGGCAAACTTTAACTTGATTTGTTCTTCGATTTTGCTCCTTTCATCCCAGACTTGCCTGGCCCCTTCTGCTCGTTTCCTGTGGTTCCCTGCCAAAAGATGCCTTAGACTTGTGGCAAGCTTTCTGGCCTCAGTGACCCCACTTTGGGCCAACTCTGTTTTACTAGCATTTACCCATGAGGGGATGGGTAACATCAGGTGTTTTCTTGGGAAATGATTACCTTCCTTTCTCTCTCAATGCACATGATTATATTAAAGTCCTTTCACACTAAGCATATTCTCTGTCTTTATGTGGTGAATGGCAGAAGACATTTAGAGCATGCAGGTTTGGGGGTCCCAGAGTACTCATCAGTCTGCCTGCTAACAATATGTCTAATTGGTTCAGTTAATCATGTTCCAATTGTAGCACTTCTTTGGGGTAAAGTTCTCATAGGATCTCCCTTCATAGATCACTACTCAGTCTATGTATGGTTGCCTTGGTCAAGGACAGTGGCTGTAGGGGCAGGAATGGGCACGGAGCAGGTTTTCTATGATCTCATGCAGACGTGGTAAAGGAGAAGAGTCCTGGAGCCCTCAGTGGCTTTTCAGGCTTTTATTGGGTTTACCGGGTACATGGCAGTCCTCCCAGCCCCCAGCAAATCCTCAGTCTATCTGGGCTCTCTGGCGTTCTCTCTGCTTCTCTTCTTCTTCTCTCGGCTTCCGTTTGTTCTTGGCTTCTGCTGGCGTCCCCATGACGCCGACCTTATAAACTCAGTCTCTCAGCCCAGGTGTACCCACTTCAGGTGCCCGCCATCAGGCATGCATTCAGGACCACAGGGTTCCTTCATCTATCCTAATGGCAGGAGGGCAGGAAAGCCTGATACTTTTTCCTAACCCTACAGCGGCCTAATACCATCTGGCTCAGCCAAAGTGGCTGAAAGTTGTAGGATACCAGCTGACTGTGGTCTCCACGACTCCCCTCTGGCAGCTTAGCTCCAACGAGAGCCTTGGGTGAGGCCCAGCCCACTGATTCATAGGTTTCTCTCCAAAACAGCATTGTGAAGAACTGTTTTTTAATGACTAAAGCTATATGCATCGTTCTCAGTTTACTGTTGTCTTAGTATTTTAGAGAGCAGGAAAATATTGAACCTCAGGGCTAGCCACCCATGTCATAGCTAACAGATGGGTTCTTCAAGAAAAAGGAAAATGTGAAAAACGTGTTGTCTGGTCTTTCCATCTCTGTTACACATAGGATAATTTTTAACAGTACCAACAACCTTCTACATAGCTTCACTGACTGTTGTAGTATTGAATTTTATTAATTTACATTTTGACTTAATGTAGGAGTGGTACTGTTACCATGACAAAAATGCAAACTGAGTTATTCTCTCAAACATTTAGGTCACCCAGTGAGCATAACAAAAAACTATGATAATTATAAATTTAAGCAAGAAGAGAAAACAGATCAATTTTGAGCAAAGGGCATGACTAATCTATAAGTAACCTTTCTACTATGAAGCATTATTTAACTATTAAAGGATTTTTTTAAAGGGTAAAAAAGAATTGAAACCAATATGAAGTTTTGCCTCATACACTCAGTCTTTCATAAACATGAGGAAGACATACTAAAGAAGAAAACCTGTCAGTTAATTAGCAAACATACATACCTAGGACATTTCATAGCAGCTTTAGTTGTGATTGGCAGAAAGGATATTGAAGCGACTCATGCCCATCGCTGGAAAAAAATGTATGTCAGCATGAAAATGCTGGGTGCACATCATGGAGCATCAGGTGGCAATTAAAAGGAACAGATGAGATTTGTTCAGAGCAACATAGAAGATCAAGATAGAAAGAGAGAGAAGGTAAGAGGGGGAGAAGGGTGAGAGGAAGGGAGAAATGTATAAACATCATCTGATATCATTTGCATAAAATATGTATATACAAAACAATGAAACAGCACGTAAAACAAAAAAGATATACATCATAGCAGTTGCCTATAGAAATGGAATTTAAACCTTTCAGAATAATATTCAATGGCACATGAAGTTACTGCATCCCATTCAAATTATCCTGTATGACCTCTTTGATGGCCCAGAACTTGGAGGGTAAGATTCCCAAATCAAAGCTTGGGAACTCCTTTAATTCTCTCTGCTCCTGCTCTGAAGGGAATGGGTGGGGTAGAGATGAAACAAACAGTTAAAACAAATAAATAAGACTCTCCATTTGTCTGAAAATAAGTATGATTAACAGGTTGCATCTGCAATGAAAGGCAGAGAGAAACATCACTCTCAGGTTGTGACATGCTTAACTAGACGGCATATTGTTAATTTACACAGGACATTTTGTTTTGTTTTATCTACAATAATGGTCTATTTGACCATCAACAGGTTGAAGAGAATGCAAACCCAAACTCTAGGAAAAGTATTACAGGTAAGAATCAAACCTTAGCAACCATTCAATCAGTTGCTTAACCCTCAGCACAAATCAATGGAAAAGCAATACACTCTAAACTACATAGAGATATGGATTAATCATCAACAGTGCACCCATCCATCACTTGGTTGGTCCTGGGATTCTGTGAGCCACAAATATTATGTTCCAACAAGTAGGATGTGACAAGTAGTCAGGAAAATAAAAGACAGTTGTGGTACTGAGTATTACAGGTGGTCAGAAGTCAGGTCCCAAGCCTTCACACAATTGAAAATGATTAAGGAATATACCCTCTGATAAAGTTTCAGAGCACCAGATGCTGGTGAGCATGGTAGCAAAGGCAACTTTTCCACAATAGCTAAGGGTAAATTTGAAAGACTTAAGTGAAAGAAAAGAGCCAAGACAGATTTGAAAGCTTCCAATCACCTGTAACAAAGCACTTTTTTTTTCTGGGATTGTAGAAAGATGGGGGGTTGACTAATGAAGAAAGGCTGTACGTGGCATGATTTATTGAGAGACCTACAAACTCTGATACAATTCCACACAATGGCATGCTGGACAAATTATATGATTTTCCAAAGGAGATGCATGCACGATGAGGAATGGAAACAAGATTTTATGATTTAGGAAACAAAGCACAGCTTTCCTGCAGTCACATGTCCAACATTTAATCTCTAAATTATTACAACCTGAGAAACTAACATTTCTATTGCTGCAGAATGAATGACACACGGTTTAATGTTCCTCTTCTCTCCTGGGAATGTTCTTTCCTCAAGAGCTCAATGAAAAGAGGCTTGTCTGGTCATATCTCTGCAAAGGAATCATTGACTATGCCAGCTTTGATGTTTATTACCTTCTTATAGTGACGCTAGAAAAATTATTAATTTTTTTTAGAAATGAAACAAAGACAATGTCTCATGTATTCTGATAGAATTGGTTTTATTTTGGCAACATTCTTTCTCCTCCTGAAGGTGGGGGGTGCATTAACATATGAAACAGCCAATATGGC